TGTTTCCCACCAACACATTTCTTTGGCGGTCCCGTACCCAGGGTTTAGGCGCGTATGGGGAAAGATCTTAAAACAGGAGAATGACACACGGGGTCGAAACATATATCCAAAGTTTCAGTCTCCCAGCTTTCCTGGCTGCTGAGATGAAGTGGGTGACAAAATGCACTCGCTTCCGCGCAAACACACACAGCCTCTCGACGGTATGCGTTTTTGCTGGCTGCAGCAAGAACGCATATTGGAGAGAGACTGTCTGTGTGTGTGTCTGTGTGTTTTCGCACTTCTGTCACTTACTTTTAGCTCAAAAACCAGAAAAGCGGCTGAAACTTTGAGAGTATGTGCCTATATCATGCGCGACCTTCCCGTTTTAATTTCATCTCCCTCGAATGTTGGGTGCCGCGTACGGACGCTTTAAAAAAATATGTAAGTTTTTTGGCGGGGAAGCGATCTCGGGAACCAGACAAGCTAAACGACTGAAAATTTGTAGGAAAGCTCCTGTGCATGTTCTAGCTAAAGATTTCAAATTCAGCCCCAGGTATGCGTGGTACTTACGTAAGGGCGTGTGAAATTTTTAGAGGGGAAATTGCTAACTCAGGTACCAGAAAAGCTAGAAAGCTGAAATTTTGGGGGGATGTTCCCTATCCAAGTACAACTCAAATATTTCAAATTCAGCCCCAAGCTATGCTTGGTACTCATGTAATGAAATTTTCTGCAGAAAAATTACTAACTCGGTAACCAGAAAAGCTGGAAAGCTGAAATTGAGGGAATGTTCCCTATCCAAGCACGACTTAAGTATTTCAAATTCAGCCTTGAGGTATGCGTGGTTCTTACGTACGGGCACTTAAAGTCTTAACGAAAAAATTTCTCACTGAACAACTAGGTTACTTTTAGAGAAGGACTGTTAAATGAAAATTGTATATTTACTTTGCAAAATTATGGTGATTCATGCTAGTGACGGCGAAAAGTGCTTGTAAAGCAACAGCCATTTATACAGTTAATGACCTGGGTAATTCAAGTCCGATGGAAAAACACGTGATCGCACGGGCCCGCCCGGTGCGTTCCAGCCTGGGTTTCAAGTTCCTGTACTTGAAGTTCAGGTGATTTTAAAACGGGACGATGTTACATGGCATAGGAACATGCTCCTAAAATTTCGTCTTCTTGGCTTTTCCGCTTGCTAAGTTGAAAGCGACTGACAATTTATGCTTACCCTCGAACACATATACAAACACACACACACACAGGCACACACACGAAACAAATATGCTTCTTTTTATTTGCATAATGTAAATTTTATTTGATTCTGTTCCGACGGGTTAACGTTGCGAGAGCGCATACGTGTAAGCATCCGACCGAGTAGATGGACAGCAGGTGGACAGACAACCTATAATTTTTGAAAATTTACA